AAGATTGATAGCTCTTGGAAACTGGAAATTTACATTTTCTGTGCCTTTAATCAATGCTTTTCTGTAAAATCAAGGGAGGATTTCCGTAACGAGTGACCACAATGGGATTGGGTAGAATAGAGGGTCTAGGGATAGGGATAGGGTTTGGGTTAAGGCAAGGGTTAGGGTTAGGGTTAGGTTTCTTCTTTATTGTTCTCTTTTTTATTCTTTGGGATGGTCACTCGTTACAGAGCCCTTCCAAAATCAAATATCTTATAAATGGACATAAAAGGTGGACATAAATATCTTAGATTTCGTTATTTTGACGAGCGGCTGATTTCACCACAATGTCTCACAAATAGTTTCGCGAATACTTTTTACCCATCTGCAGTTGGCCTGGATCTAGTCCACAAAAGCACTGAGTGAAAAGCTCGCTGGCTCAAGGATGTGTGGATAATTCAGCGTGAAATTGTTCACGCTCCTTGTCTAGACAAGTCATCATCGGTCGGACAGGACAAATCTGAGTCACAGTAAGTACGCAAGACAAGGGAGAGACCGAGGAGTCTGTTACACGGAGGTCTTCTATTGCCCACTACTCTAAATAAGGTTTTGAATATCGGTGTTAATCTTTGGTTGCTTTTTTTCTTCTTTGGTTATATGTACGCCCCTACAATTGACAACTACAACAACAACAACAACAACAAGAATAAAGAAAACCATCATAATTATTAATTTCATGGTGATAATGATGACTCTCATTCATTTGCTCTTGAGGAAGCCTACGTGGTGAAACGTCGAGCCTATTCAATAAAACAAATTTTAAACATTTTATATTTATATATGTTTTGTCTGTAAATCAAGCAAGACACGCCCTCCTACTCTGCCTTCTAGATCTAAACAATGATGATGATGATACTTAAGCTACAATAACAGCAGTGATGATAATTGTATCGAAGTTATGGTACTTGTCCGTACTATTGGAACTGTACCCCCCCCCCCAATTATGCAATGCAAAATTAATGATTGTATAATGATTTTACAATACATTATCAGTTCCTTCTACAACTTAGCCAAGTATTTCCTTGAAGTGGGCCAGTCTTTTCACTTACCGCAATCCGTGTGAAGACGTAGACAAAGAGTGAGGCCAGGGATAGGTAGACCCGTAGACGTACGCCACCAAATCGTTTCTTCAGGTACTCCGGCATTGTGAAGGACTTAAAGATGACATAAGAAAGGACAATACTTTCTTATTCTCGCGGGAAATCTTCTGTGGCTTTACAGGAATAGTAACACAATGTAGATATACACAGAATTTAAAGATAGATGAGTTCCAACATTTTAATGAAAACAGGGATTTTTCCAACTAAATGCTGAATTTATCTTCGTGAGACTAAGAAAAGATAGTTGTTGGTTGTTTTTTTTTAATCTAAGAAAGAAAATAAATTTATCTTACAATGGCATGTATAGCAATTTTTAACAGTATGATGACAGTACATAATCGGCACAATTAGATTTGTCAAAAATTATTTATGAGATGAACTTTATAAAATGTATAAAGGCACGCCCATATTTTTCCAATGTTGCTAGGGCCAATGAAAAAAAAAACTGTTGGCGGTTGGCAGGTGCTCTAGTGTAGTTTGTTTCTTCTTTCCTATCAATCAAACTTTAATTATCGTCCATATCTTTGTTCTTTCTTATGTTTGTCCCTCTCTTTTCCTTTGTCAAAATGACTGTGGCGTCAGTAGCCTAGTGGATAGGCCATCGACTCGTAATCGTGAGATCGTGTGTTTGGGGTTCGAGCCTCAGCTCGGTCCGACGTTGTGTCCTTGGGAAAGGCACTAAACATGAATTTTTAATTTGGCTCGGTCCTTTCGGAGATGGACGTTAAACTCTTAAATAATCTAATAGTGTTGAATCTATGCCATTTTCAAAAGGATTACATTCTGATTACTGCTGTTGTTATTGATGATCATTACCCCAAAGATGCAAATATTGGTTCTGGTGTAGATAATGACCTAGTTATTTTTCTTTTTTGAGTGTGAAATGTGCGCATGGTGTCCTAAAGGAAAACTATTTACTTCTTCAAAATAAAAAAAGCTGAGTCTTGTTATGCTTTGTACCTCAACCACAGTAAAAAAAAACTTGAACCATGTGCACTTGGGTCGTATAAATTTGGATCCTGTATACTTGGGTCATATAAATTTGGATCATGTATACTTGGATTATATAAATTTGGATCGTGTATACTTGAATTATATAAATTTGGATCGTGTACACTTGGATCATATAAATTTGGACCATGTACACTTGGATCATATACATTTGGACCATGTACTCTTGGGTCATATAAATTTGGATCATGTATACTTGGATCATATAAATCTGGATCATGTATACCTGGATCATATAAATTTGGATCATGTACACTTGGATCATGAGTATACTTACCCCGCTGGCTACATAGACAGGCACAAAGATCCAAGCCAGAAGAATCAGTAAGTAAACTGCCTGGAAAAAAAAG